CTTAACTTTGCAATGGGTGATATTAATTTTACCAGCTATATTTTTAAATTAGTATTATTCATATAACTGTAGCATTGCATAATGAATACCATCATGAAATTGACAGTGCATACTATAAATGTATAAATATATATATATATTTCTGAGTGGGAATAGTGGCATAAACAAATATTCGATTTACAATAGATACTGCAAATGGTTGGAGTTAAGTCCCCTAGAATTACTAAATCTTTTGTATGTCATGATTATAAGATGACCATTACATGACACAAATAAAACTTTCAAGTTAAAATATCTATTCATAGGCAAGTATATATTTAATATATGCAAAATAATCTGTGTAACAGATTTCTGAAAATTAAAATTAGGAAAATGTTTAAAATATTTAAATAAGTATGACCTTTGTATTCTTTATTTAACTTCATTCATAATTTTACTCATGAATATATCAGGCAAGTTAGGTGAATGTAAAAATTGAAAAATATTATGATCAAATCCTGTTCACAGCATTTACCACTTGACAACAATAAAAACATGTATAATATGATGCAGGTCCTGTCAACAGTGTACACCATCTGACAACAATGTATACAGGTATATCATGATGCAGTTCCTGTCAACATTGTACACCACCTGACAACAATGTATACAAGTATAATAAAATGATGCAGGTACTGTTGACAACAGTATATCATGACAACAAAATTTGCAGGTGTAAAGCATGATGCAGCTCCTGTCACCATTGTACACCACCTGACAACAACATATGCAGGCATAATATGATGCAGATCCTGTCAACAGTTGACAACAACGTATAAAGGAAAATATTGTTCATTATCTCATGTTAAATCTGCAGTACAGAATTATTGTACATAATTATGTTTGGTATTAGCATGTAATGATATTTAGTATCACCTGAATGGGAAGATTTTATATTTACATGTAATTGTCCTTAACAATTATCAAGTATTTTTAATACTAATTAGTTTCTTTGGTACTGGAAATATTGCTAGCATAAACAGGCAAGTAAATACTTTGAGCTCAAAATAACCTCTTCCACTCTACATCACTGCTTTCTTCCTTTTCTCAGTTATCTTTTCACATATATGTCAAGCTATGAAGGGTAAAGGAGATGTGATGTGAATCAGTGATTCTTCCAGATCATTGTATGGCTATAGAGGTCTAAATATATATGTATGTGTAGAAGTTCTGTGGTTGATTATGTCCAGCTCCTTCAGTATAATGTGGTCCCTTGTGTAATGTGAAAATGATTACAGATCCTTTTTGACTAGTTGAATTTATACATAATAATACTTGAACTATTTCACTCTTCTATTGTATTGAGAACCAGTGAAAATTATATTAGTTCACATCAGTAAATAACACATTCTTTGTAGTTTTTATACAGCATAATGACTTGTAACAAACCTTCCTATAATGTGACACACTAATAGTATGTTATTGTCTATTTGTGTGGCCACCATGAAGTATTCTTTAATCAGGGATTACTGAACATGAAAGGACCTTATGGTGACAGTAATTGCTATTGTAACATGAAGTGCCAAAGTTTAAGTTATAGTTACTGAAGCTTCAGCTTGAAATATAGATTGTTTCAATTGTTACGAGTCTATGCTCTTAAAATAAGTAAAAGAAAAGATTGAAGACAAAAAGCTTTGTAAAATTTAAGAATTTATTTCCATTGAATACAAAGTGAAAAATGAGAAAAATGAACTTAAGGTATTGCGAAATAAATCCAAAAATAGTCAAAGAATTAAAGACCAAGTCCTAGTAATAAAAAGTTATGAATAATATTTGATTCAAGTCCCAAAGAGATTCAAACTTGAAGGCAATGATGTGTCTATTATGGCATGTGAAGTGCTGATGTGCCAGCAGTCTCTTGTTGAATCACAGAGTTTTCCAGATTTGATTTTAGTATAAATTCCAATGAAATTCTTTATACAAGAATTTTGTCAGAGCATATTGATATTTCCAAAGAAAATAATCACTTAAATTCAATAATTTGAAAAAAATAAAATTCAGCCAAAACTTCTCCCAACATAACACAGCTTAAGTGCTAGATGTTAAAGCACAACTGGTAAAATTGTCATAGTTACAGTGTAATATATAGTTCTCTGCTTGACCTCAAAATCACAATTAGCATTTTTTTTTACAAAACATTACCTTATGGAAAACAACCTTCTGAATGATCCAAGGAGCCTTGTTTATTTATGACACAATAACCTATAAAATTCACTTGAGAATCTCCAAAACCCTGACCTTGATCAACTTATTTACTGCTTCTTTGTTTACTTCAATAATAATTATGATAATACACTTATACACATAGAGAATAATGAAGCTATTATTAGTTGTTTACATAAATGAAATAATTTTTTTTTATAAAAAGGTCAATCAGGTCAAGCAGAAATGAACTCAGTTTTGGAGAATGTCAAGTCCAGCAAACAATGTTACATTACAATAACATATAATGAAATAAAAGAAATTTAAAATTAACAAACAACTAAATTAAATATGCATAATGCAATCAAGACTTTAGATAATTGGTTTTGCTTTTTAATGCCAACCAATAATGATTTCTGAGGACAAATTTTATAGTGAAGGTCATATGTACAAAATTTACAAGAATGGACTGTTTGCAAAATAATGAATGAAATGGCAGAACAATTTCAAGCAATTTGTTTACATTATTAAGATGTAATTAAATTGCTTGTGTTAGTTTTAAATTCTTCTTTTTAATTTTTTTTTGTTTCATTATTTTTTATTTTAGTGATAATTTTCATGGGATATGAATCTCTTTTAAAGAAATTCACTTGTCTTAATTAGAATGTAACAGTTAATCATTATTTTTAGCTGACCTTGGTTCGCAAATTCGTAAAACTAAGTGAAAATGATTGGCTATTTCCAAGGTCATATCTGGCCCATGTGCTATCATTATGGTAAACATTTTTTTTTTATTCATTTCTAGCATGAGAATCTGATTTTTTAGGTTAATATATGCATTTGTTCATTTATTGAATAAGGAAATTAATATCCAACTTAAGTTTTTGATTTTCACTTATAATTGTATCTTTTATCTTTTCAGCTTTGATCCAGCCTCAGTGTATTGTTTTTTAACCGTATTTAATCCATTTGTCATGGGGACTTTAATGATGTGGAAGGTGAGTGTTATTAGTAGCTTTCCTACATAAAAGTGTTTGAGAAGTTAAAGTTCTATTACAGTGGAATACACACTATATATCAGAATGTTCATTTTTCACTAAATTACTCAAAAATGTGCAGTAAAATGCATATTTTGACTTAAAGAGAAGACAATAAAGATAATGTATGCATTTTCAATATTTTATTAAACATTGCTTTTTAGATGTCATTGGCATCAACAATGATTTCCTTGGCATGATTTATCTTTTTAAGTACACTTATATTTAAGTTAACTTCTACAAAATACAAATCAGTTTATACTGGGATTTCCTACAGCTGGATATAAAAAATTCTTCACTGAATTTTTCACATTCCATCAAGTGTCCTCACTTTGCACATACATTTTTTGGGTGTAAGTCCGATAACATATCATCAGACATTGGTCACTTAATCTGTATTAACCACCCAGATGATTAGTCAGTATTGGTCACTTAATCTGTATTAACCACCCAGATGATTAGTAAGTATTGGTCACTTAATCTGTATTAACCACCCAGATGATTAGTCAGTATTGGTCACTTAATCTGTATTAACCACCCAGATGATCAGTCAGTATTGCCAAGAGCGAAATCAAAATTATATATTGGTTAGCTTTGCCATCTTCTTACAGTTTGATTTGCCATTGTTTTGATGATGATGATGATAATGATACTTATTATCATCCACATGATTTTTTTAAATGATGGCACAGTGTGATGTACATTTTTATATGTATTGGTGGATAAGTAATGTTGTACAGCATCTTCGATATTCTGTAGCTTGAAGATATTGCATATAAGGTTGAATGAAACTGAGTTCGAGCCCTGATGAAATCCAATATTAAAGGTGATGATGTCTGTTTTGGTCTGCCAAGTGCTGCTGTGTCAACAGTCTCTTGTTGAATCATAGAAAATATTATTCCAGTTTTGATTTCAGTATAAATTCCAATAAATATCTTTATCCAAGAATTTTGTCAGACATCTTTTGAATTTTCTGGGAAAAGAATCACTTGAATTCTACAATTTGAAGAAAATAAAATTCAACCCAAATTCAACCCAAACTGGTCACAACATAATACAACTTAACATCTCACATGTTTTAAGCCCAACTGAATATACCTTTATCAAAACAACAGTTATGCACTAATAAAGATCCCAAAGAGATTCCTGGATGAGAGACAAAAGTTCATTCTTCTGGAAAAGATATAAGCTTATGCTAATTGATGTATGCTACTTGTCCACGTAGTCTGGGTGTGACCTTGACTCAGTGATTCTTACTCTGAGAAAGACAAAAATTATTTTCATAAAAAGTTGTTTACCAAAGCTGTCACTGATTTTAGAACAATGTCAGGAACTAAATACAATGTTTCTATCATTAGATGTTTAAAAAATTAAAAAAAAATCAATTTTGCACAATGTCAAGTCCAGTAACCAATGTTACATTACAGTATTATGTAATGGAATAAAGAAAAAATTAAAACTATCAAAAAATTAAATATACACAACAATAGTGATAGAGATTCCAACAAGAGAAATGACTTAAAAGTCAAAGTCTAATGTGCATCTGTCATCAAAGATTGAGCTCTGACAGATATTGAGTTCAGCCATTGAGAGAGAGTGTGTTACATTTGCAGATGTACATGTATTTGTGTTTGAATACTGCTTTAGTGCAAATTGCTTGTTTGTAGTTTGCAGATTTTGTTCCTAAAGACTTGCATACAGTAATACCAGACAAATTAGTACTACTTCCTAAAGACTTGCATACAGCAATACTAGATGAATTAGTACTACTTTCCTAAGACTGATCCGGTGGCCTAGTGGTTACAGCATCCGCCTCAGATGTGGGAGGTTGTGTGTTCAAACCCAGGCTGAGTCATAATAAAGACTTATAAATGGTACTGACAGCTGCCTCACTTGGTGCTCAGCATTAAGAGGCTGGTGTTAGGACTGGTCTGCCTGGAGTCAGGATAATGTGACTGGATGGGACATCATGCTACATGTCTGCGGCATGATGCCCCAGTGCTAGACATCACTATAAACTGCCACACTGCAGACATCATAGCGATATGACTGAAATATTGTTAAAGCTATGTTAAAAAACTAAATCACACACACACTCAACACTCTACTTCCTAAAGACTTGCATACAGCAATACCAAATGAATTAGTACTACTTCATAAAGACTTGCATACAGCAATACTAGATAAATTAGTATTACTTCCTAAAGACTTGCATACAGCAATACCAAATGAATTAGTACTACTTCCTAAAGACTTGCATACAGCAATACTAGATAAATTAGTACTACTTCCTAATTACTTGCATACAGCAATACTAGATAAATTAGTATTACTTCCCAAAGACTTGCATACAGCAATACTAGATAAATTAGTATTACTTCCTAATTACTTGCATATAGCAATACAGATAAATTAGTACTACTTCCTAATTACTTGCATATAGCAATACCAAATGAATTAGTACTACATCGTAAAGACTTGCATATAGCAATACCAAATGAATTAGTACTACTTCCTAAAGACTTGCATACAGCAATACTAGATAAATTAGAATTACTTCCTAAAGACTTGCATACAGCAATGCCAAATGAATTAGTACTTCTTCCTAAAGACTTGCATATAGCAATACTAGATAAATTAGAATTACTTCCTAAAGACTTGCATACAGCAATGCCAAATGAATTAGTACTTCTTCCTAAAGACTTGCATATAGCAATACTAGATAAATTAGAATTACTTCCTAAAGACTTGCATATAGCAATACTAGATAAATTAGTACTACTTCCTAAAGACTTGCATATAGCAATACTAGATAAATTAGTACTACTTCTTAATAACTTGCATACAGCAATACTAGATAAATTAGTATTACTTCCTAATGACTTGCATACAGCAATACCAAATAAATTAGAATTAATTCCTAAAGACTTGCATATAGCAATACCAAATGAATTAGCACAGTAACAGTACCTTTTGTACACCCATTACGAGACAGAATATATTATGTTGTGATGTCTGACCATCCTTTTTACATCAGTCTGTATATAGTTAATTTCATTCAGCACAATAATATACATGATTTACGGTGTGGAAGGCTTGCATTTTGGATAAAGAAGAACCCTACTGTTTCTTTCAATAAAGATAAGGTGCAAGATTAAAGCCACTATAACTGAATTTAGATACATGGCTTTACACAGTAACTCAAGTCCCTCACTATATACAGTTACCAAACTATGTAGTTGGCTTGCATTTAAGGTAAGAAAGAAACGTATTTATTTTGGGGTCCAAAAGTAATAAGTCATGGTCATTGTTACTGACAAAAAATGGTTTCCACATAACAGTTTAAGTTCTCCATCGTCTATGGATATTGAACTATTTGGATGCCTTGCACTGGGTGTAAGAAAGTATCCTATTGATTTTGGGTCAAAGGTAAAGGTCAGTGGCAGAAGGAGTAAAAATGGTTTATGCACAGTAACATTAGTCCTTGAAGCGAATAGGGACTCAACCTTGTAGATGTTTTGCACTTTGAATAACACTGGTTACCAGACTAACAAGTCTATGTTGTTAAATTACAGAATTGTGAATGTTAATGTTTTTAATGCTATTAATTAAAAAATTATGAATGTTAACATTTTTTATTTTTCAGAATGTGATTCCTTTCGTGTTTGTGACGTGTGCCTTCCATGCCATCCATGCAATTACTCGGGTCCCAATACGGGCTCTTCTTCTCCTAGTCCTGATCATGTCAGACATTATGGCTCTGGTAGGTACTCTAATTGTTCTTGTTTATTTTAAAAATTATGTTTTTTCTTGCCCATGATTCAAGTCAAGTATTTTCAGATAGCAATGTGTTCCCTGCTGTCGATGTTAATGCTGTGTGCTCAAATCGAGTCTAGAACATCTTGCCCCCAATTTTTTCCCCCACCGGCCCCTTCCCTGACATTCTCTCCCCCCCTCCGCGCAGACATTTTTCCCCTGGACTTTCCCCCCATCAGATAGGACTTACCCCCCATTCATTTCTCCCATGATCTTAAAAACTTAATTCATTTAATATGAAAGTTTGCCAATAAATTATAAAAACTTATATTAAGTTATGTAAAAAAAAAAGATTATTTGAAATAAATCTCAGCAGTGTTCAATAAAGTTAACATTTTCACATATTAAAAATGTTTTGTTTACATGTTAATGTTCAAAGCAATTGCTTTTTAGTATTCTATGATGCCATGATTGTCAAAGTCAGTGACTATGTTTGCAGTTCTTGAAGACAGTCTTTGTACTTTTTCTTTGATTGTTACATCATAATACACTTATGTCAACATCTGGCCTGCGTACCGTACTGAAGCAACTACAATTAATTGAATGATGGCTAAACCATCTGTTGTTTATCTTAAATATACCAAAAATGCGCTATCAATAAAGGTTAGACTCAAGCCTCATCAACATACTTCAAAGAAACCTCCTATTCTATCTATATTCAGTAAAAGCACCAGCAATTGATTGACAAAAAGACAATGCCCATTTTTGTTAAAACTAACAATGCTTAAAAATAGGTGCAAAATTATGTTCACAGTTCAAATGTGGAGTCAAGCTACCCTTAAGATCCATGTGTGTGTGTGTGTGTGTGTGTGTGTGTGTGTGTGTGTGTGTGTGTGTGTGTGTGTGTGTGAGAGAGAGAGAGGGAGAGAGAGGTCAGGAAAGTAGATATTTTACATTTGATAATGGTGATGCAGGATGCAAGTATACATTAAAGCTAAATGTTACTATATATAAATAAAGTTGTATAAAGATAATGGGGGTAAATGACTGGTGGGGGTAAGTCCTATCTGATGGGGGTAGGAAATTTCTGGGGAAAGGGGAATGTCCGAAGGGGAGATGTCCTGATACTGCTCAAGTCTGTCACTAAGAATCATTGTATGCAGTCGTGAAATTTGATGAACACATTCAGTTTGATGAGTACCTCTTTATACTGCTTTGAATGGATTCTTATAATGATTGGACCCTATACTGTGGGGAATTGAAAGATGTTCTAACAAGGCTATGTCCTGACAGTACATACAAACACAAAACTAGAATAGTAAATAATGTGATATCACCATAATATTATTCTCATAATCCATTGACTTGACCCGTGATCCCATTAAGATGGACCAATTTAATGGGATCTATGATCTTGTTCCCATTAAGATGGACCAATTTAATGGGATCCATGATCTTGTTCCCATTAAGATGGACGAATTTAATGGGATCAATGATCCTGTTCCCATTAAGATGGACCAATTTAATGTGATCCATATTCCTGTTCCCATTAAGATGGACCAATTTAATGGGATCCATGATCATGTTCCCATTGAGATGGACCAATTTAATGTGATCCATGTTCCTGTTCCCATTAAGATGGGGCAGCGAAATACTGAGGAGTTTATTGTGAGTTTCCACTTTCCTAATATCAAAAATAAGCTGTAAACACCTACTAATACTTTAATCTCCATTTACACTTTTAGTTTTTGGTCCTTTATTATTTTTTATTATTATTTTTTTTATTTTTATTATTTTTTATATTACTTTTTGTTTTAATATAATAATCAGTCATCTGAGTTGAGAGCAAAATGGTCACAATTTTTGACAAAATCCAGACATGCCTACCTGTGACTCAGTAGTTGACCAAAACCATACACATGCCTGCCTGTTACTCAGTAATTGGCTCAAACCACACATGTGCCTGACTCTTACACAGTAGTTGGCCAAAATCACAGATATGTCATCCTGTTACTCATTTGATGGCCATGCTGTTCTAGCCAGTTACTCATGATGATGGCTAAAATCAAACACATACCTGATGTTACTCAAATGGTGACATGCCAGTGTTAGAAATAACTGTAGTTGTGATAATCATGATATGTAGACCAATCATGTGATATTTAACCCTTTAGGTAGGCATGGTAAAGATGTAGACAATGCATTGTATTATGTTCTGTTATACTTATCTGGAACAAGTCTTTATACTGTACCTACTTTAATCAACTCTTATATAAGGTATCTGGTATATATCATATTATTTCTCTGACAATTTTAATATTTGTTTTAAAATTTTATAAAATGTACATGAAAGAAATAAAAGTTTCTTCTAATTAAGGCGTATTTCTGCAATATCAGTCAGAATTAATACTGCAGCAGACAGGCAACATTATTGAAAAGATGGCTATATCTTTGAAGCCATGTAATTAGCTGTTTAGATATTTTAATCTAATTATTTTATATTTGCAATGCTGTTTAATTGAAATTCTCTATCTCTCTCCCCCTCTCTCTCTCTCCTCACACACACACACACACACACACAAACACACACACATCCTCTTCACCAAATTCTTCCATGTACTGTATGTGTTATTTTCTAATATGTACATTTTATGGAGTAAGTTATTATGCTGCAATCGGTGTGTGTCTTTAGCAATATAAGTAAAGGCCTAATATAAGTTATGAAGACTTCCTGTCTGACTCATTTGCTTACATTAATGTCATGCCTAATTTGTTAAAATAAATTCAGTATTACTTTAAGTTGTTTATAACCATTTGGCGAGTGAACTATTTATTAAGATAAACATAGCTTTATATACAAAAGTCAATCCGTGCCATCTTGTAGTCCTATAATGAGAGTAAACATGTAAACGTTTGTGACATATTCATCTCTTTCAAGTTCCCTTGTAGAGTTAAGAAAGATTTTAAAAATTACAAGAACTTTTCATCTTGCATTTGTTATTGTTTTCATTAAGAAAAGACAAAAAAGAGCAAAAGAAACATTTTCTTGCACATGCCAAATAAACCTCTGAAAATATCAATTTTAGACTTTTTTGGCTG